GATCCCATTGTTTTCCTGAAAAATTTCCACTCTGCAAAATCCCTGCATTCTGATGAGGACCTTGTCAGACTGGTTTCCTTGCTCAGACAATCTCTTTAGCATATGCATTATTTGGAGTTGTTTTTACCTTGAATGCGTAATGAGGTTTAATGACTGATACTGTTTCTGGTCTGGGAAGGATGGGGCATTATGCTGACAATATATGGTGGATCTACACAGAGGCATTTTGTAATACAGTAGTTTCATAACTATTTCTTAACATCAACCAGAATTTGTAAGCCCACATCATCACACATTCAAAGACAGGCAAAGGCCCACTCTTTGGAAACTCTGCAGAAGATTTTGCCAGTCATTTTTGGGTGCTCAATAATGAATACTGTTCAAAGGAGAATATAAGCAGTGGTTGTTCTTTAAAAATATGCTTTTAATTCTGCATCCCCAGGAAATCTGAGTACTCAGGCTTCCACCCCTGGCTTCTACAGATTTTTAAATCTTCACTGTGGTTTAAAACTCTGTAGTACTGGTGTTGCAATGTGAAGGAGAATAATTAAGGCATCGTGCTGGGCTCCAGAGGTGTGAGTTGATGTTTTCCTTAGGCTTAGGGTTCCTGTGAGAGATTCATGATCATTCACAGTTTCTCAAGCAGAATGACTGGGCAGACCAGGCACTTCTACACCATCAATTTTGTTCACAGGATTTCTAGTTTTTACTGTACCCTCATAGTTGGAGTTTGTCTAAATTAGGGGGCAGTTGCCACCCTAACTATGGTGGCAGAGCTATGTCAGCAGATCCCCCTAATGGGGATGAAGCATGTGGTGGCAAAAGGCAGTTTCTGCTGGTATAGCTATATCACCTTTCTTATCTCTTCGAACTAGCCACCTTCTGTTAGCATAACTATATAGCCAGCTGTGTGGTTTTGCCAGCATAACTATACAGCCAACATAACGGCTTGCAAAACTTTGTGTTGTATGTCCAGATTTTAGACTGGGACTTTTGTCCCTATGGAAAAGATTTTAACTGTTTTTGCCTTCTGCAACAACAGTCAGCTCTTTTTAAAGAAAGAGGGTAAAAGGTTAGACTCTACATTCCCGATTTTTTGGCAAGATTAGATTCTTATCCTAGAAAAATCCTGATTTTCTTTCCTAGAACGAGATATATTGAACATTACTCATGATACAACCTGGACTTGGTACTGATCTTTGTTATATGTATGTATCAGAATTAAATTAATTGAAGTCACTTGGACTTGCTGTGTAATTGAAGTAATTATCTGGTCTCATTTCCCATCAGTTGTGTATTGCTGTTCCACAAATGCAACATGACTGTTCTGTATGTCTGTCAGGGAAGAAGAGGAAGGCTGAATTCAGTGCTACCAGAATGACCTTTTGGGGTTTAGTTTTATATACAATTCTATTCCATCATGGGTTTACACTCCTACCTGGGTGGTAGCACTGTTAATCATGATGTACTTCTGAGAAAGCAAAAGGAAAGAGAAGATTGAGAATCTTCTGAATTTCTTCCAAATATGCCATTTCCCAAAGTTGACAAAAAGAGGCAATAATACATCCAGATACTGAAAGCTTGAGATTAGAACCCCTCCACAACTTTCTTGAATTTGGCAGGATCTCCAGCTGAGAACCACTGGAATGCTGCCTCTGCTTGCTACAATGGTTCTGAACCCAGGTGATGCCCCATGCTTCTGCCTACGTCAGGGTTATCTGCCTAAAGCAGGCAGGAGCATAATGAGTTTTGTACCCTGGGAAAAACTTGTCTGTGCTCCTGGGGGAGTGTGTGGAGGGGAAAGAGGGTGGTTTTACCTGTCCTGGGTGTCCCTACACCCTGCTTCTCCAGCCAGGCAGAGCAAACGGCTGCTCCAGCACAGCAGGACTCTCTTGGCTGAGCAGTATAAAAGGCTACTGTAACCCAGCATGACCCCTCCAGATGGGCAGTGCAAAGAGCTGCAACTAGAATGCCAACTCTTACCACAGGGGTATAGGTTTTAGCTGTGTTGGTCTAAGGACATAGGTAGATAGTTGGTATGTAGTTGGTGTGTTTTCTCAACCTGACAAAGGGTATTTATACTCAAAAGCTTGCTAAGAAGAATTTTTCCAACTATTTGAGTTGGTCTAATAAAAGATATCAGATTTACCCAAAGAACTCTTGACACAGCCTTCCAGGTCTGGCCTTGCATGCTTCTCCTGGAAGCAGAGGGGCATGGGATAGTTCTCCCTGCCTGGCTCCAGGAGGTGCATGTGGGGTCAAGATCAGAAAAGCCTCCAGGATCTCCAGGAAGAGAATGGGCTTCAGCCAGCTGCAGCCACAGCTGCTTCTCAATTTGTCTCTGCAGGAAGTGCCTGGGGCATTTTATCCTGGCTGTGGCTGCATCCATGTTGCAACACCCCTGGGAGACTCTCACAGCACCCTAAAGTACCATATCACTCTGGTTGAGAACCACTGTCCCAGAAGTTCTACAGTGAGAAAGGAGCATCTTTTTAATAGGGGGAGCAAGCATGGTGATTTATAAGTACCTCCACATAATGCTGGAGACAGGAAGTATGGGGCATTGAAAAGGCTGCCAATAGACAGGACAGATCCACAGATTCTGTGTGGGGTGGGAGGTGGTTGGCAGGGTGGATTCAAGGGATGTGCAGTAGTACAGTTGTACCTCCCACTTTTGCCTCTGGCTCACTGCTGAGAGCTCTTTGTGGACGTGGAACACGTGCAATGGTTTTTCCACCACACTTGCCTTTTTGGCAACCTGGATCCACAGCAGATGGTTAGTGCATGTTCCTTAGTGCTGCATCTGTGCTGTACAACAGCATATCTAAGTACAGTATACCTTAGTGCACCCCAGAACCTCTCCCTGTATTTACACTTGGTGGTAGATTTAGCAGGATTGATGGACTTCAGTAGCAAAAGAATATGGAACATTTTGCCGTGAGGAAGTTTATATCATCAAGACAATGGTTCAGAGTATTGCCAACTATGGTGGAAAATTTCTGAGGGTTCCTTGTTCAATCTGAATGCATGTTACTGAATTACAAGTAACACATCTTCATTCTCTGAGCTTCTGAGTGTATTCTGTACTTTGTGCCATTCCACTGAGTTCAGTGAAATGACGATGGATATAGTGGAGGACCTGCAGCAGAACAGTTGAGCAGTGGTTACAGTGTTTCCTGTAATGCTTGCTAAGGTGAAAACTATTTCAGCATACACTAGATTTCCTTATGGCAGAAATGTAAACCTAGCTAGTTATTTTACTTCTGTGCAATTTCAGTTGCCTTGCAATCAAAAGGCATCACAGCCCTCAGTACTGTTTTTCTTCCATTTAGGTCCAACACTAAGATATATAATTTATGGAAACGTGCATATTTCCCATGTTGCCCAGTGTTTGATGAAAGCTCTCCTCATACCAGGTCCCTAAGCCACTGCCCCTTCTTAAGATTTTCTTAAAAAAACCAGAAAACCTCTTTTCCTATATAACTAACAAATTATCTTTAACTGTATTTCCCAGGGCATTTTGTTTTCTAGACCATTTGTTTGGTAGGTCCTAGATAAGCATCTCAGTAATGCCGACTAAGTATATAAAGCTGAGCACATGCACACTGATTTGGAGGATTAGATGCTTAGATTCAAGCTCACTGAGGCAGAGACTGCTGTTATGTTGTATTGTACATATATGGTGTGTTGTGTTTGTTGAAGTCAAACAAATTATTAAAAAATCAAAATGCTGGCCCATGAGTTGACATTTGGGTTGCCAACTCTGAATCTATTCCAGGAACCAAAGTGCCCATGGCACACAGTGCAAATGCACCTGCATGCTTGCGTATATCAGTTATGGATTACAGTGTGTAGATTTTATGCCAGGAAGGCAAATGCACATTACTGTTACATTTTAAAAACCCACTGGACTACTACAGAAATTGGATTCAACATTTATTTTAATGAATGCCGTATCACTTATCTCCCAGGTGACTCTCAACCATCTCCTTGAGATTTATATCTAATTCCTGGAGACTCCAGGGCAGCCCTGGAGGGTTGGCAGCCCTAGTTGATAACCAGCTGTTGACATTTTTGAAACACTGAAGTCTGAAAAGGAGAAAAGAAGAAAGAAATTTACAACAGCTGATACTTTTGGACCGCAATCATATTTTTCCTGGAGGTTTCCTCTTTGAACAGTTTTTTTTTTGACCTGGTATAATTATATTGGTTAGAAAAGTGATATTCTACTGAATCAGTTGTCCTGGTCCAAACCCTTTTTTTTGGACAAAGTTATATGGGTGTATAGTAAAAGGGAATGGCCCGTTCTCCTTTCTGTAGGGGACTAGCTAAGTTGCTTAATGGATGTTTCCCCCCATTTAACTGAATCCTATATGGGCTATTGCTTTAAAGCAATACCAATATGGGTAAAGGAGTACGATGTGTTTGTGTGTACACAGGTGTAGGTTGTAGCCTTGTTGGTCTAAGGACATAGGCAGGTGAGGTTCTTTGCATAAATCTGGTATCTTTTATTAGACCTACTAAAACAGTTGGAAAAGTTCTTCTTTGCAAGTTTTCTGGTATAAACACCCTTCAGCAGCCTAAAGAAGCTGCTTCCTCAGCCTGACAAAGGGTGTTTGTACCCGAAACCTTGCAAAAAACTTTTCCAACTATTTTAGTTGGTCTAATAAAAGATACCTGATTTACCCAAAGAACTTTGGGCAGCAGTGAAGGGTTTAATCCACAGCCCACTCAAGTCCCCGAGGACCTCCAGGCACCACCCCAGCCTCTGGGGCACAGCAACACTCCTGGGGCAGGTCCCCCCAGGTCCCTTTTCTTCAGTAGGGCGGGCTGCCGCAGCAGCCCGGTCCTCCCCCACCAGGTGGCAGCAGCGCATTCCAAGGCCTCGTCGAGAGCCTTGCGATCACCGAGTCCCGGGGCGCGGTCATTGAGGGGGCGGGGGCAGAGCGGCCGGAGGCCCTTTCTAGGTCGGCGGACTCGATGGTCGTGAGTGCGCGCGTGCGCAGTGAGACGGAAGCTGAGGGGGCGGCCGGACTTAGCGATGGCGGCGTCCGTGATGTGCAGCTGGTTGTCGGCCGGGCTCCGCGCCGGTGGCCTCCGCACCGCCAAGGTGACGCCCGGGGCTGGGGCGGCTGTGGTGGCACTCGGGGATGGGGGTGCGGCCCCGGGCGGGCTCCGCGGGGTGCGCAGACCGCGGTGTTTCCCGGCGCCCTTGAGGCGCTTCTCCTCCCGGGCTCGCGTTACGCACCGCTGTCTCGGCGGGGCCTGAAGCAGTCTGGGTTCAGCCCGCGGCCTAAGCCGCCGCCTCTGCGCGGCCTTCCGCCCCGGCTCTGGGCCGGGCCCTGCTTGATAGAGCCAAAGGACTCGCTAAGGTGCTTCTGACTTATTTCTTTTAACTTCTCTTTTGCGGCACGGCCGTCAGCAGCTTTTCGTGTCCTTCTTCTCCGTGCTTTGTGGCTGTTGGCCTTACAACAAATAGTCACAGAGACTGGAAGGGGCTCAAGGGCATCTAGTCCAACCCTTTACCTGAGGCAGGATCATCCCTACCCAAACCATCCCATGCAGATCCTTGTCTAAACTCTGCATAAGGCAACCATGGAGCCTGACACAACAGAAGCCTAACACCCTAACCCAGGGCTAGGCAACCCCCAGACAGGTGCCAAGGCACGGCATGCAAAGGCATTTTGTTTGGCACACGCGCACCTCAGGGTGGATGGCAGGGAAGGGACTGGGGCTGCGCTGCTACAAAAAGGATCAGGTCCCTTGTGCTCCCCCACTGTCCACCCCAGCACACCAACATCTTACAAGTTGAGGTTGCAGGTGTTTTTGGCACTGCCCAAAAATGTTACCAACCACTGCCCTAACCTACCACAGAGAAAAGGGAACCACCTCAGCCAGTGTCCTGCTTCTATGAAATGTCATAGAATACAGGCAGTCCTCGGGCTTGTGACACAATTGATTCCTGAACACCGCGTCTTAAGTAAAAACATCATAACTCAGAACCAATTTTCTCATAAGAAACAAGGTTATAAATGGGGGATTGGTTCCTGAACCAAAGCCCGATACCCTATTTTCACCAAAAATATCCGATAATTTTGTACTCAATCAATTATAGATGGGCAATATAGCTACATTAATGTATTTATATTGTGAATAGCAATCATTGATTTGGAAGGACTTATCTGAGGTGACTTTGCTGGACTTTTTGAAAGGCTTTGGTTGGATATTGAAGGGTTCTTGGTTGGAGTCTTCTCAGGAGTCTTGGCTGCAGGTTTTTCTGGAATCTTGTCTGCTTTCTTAAAGAAAGCGCTTAAGGAAATTTGGACAGATGTTCTTCAGGGAGATGAGTGACGCAGCGAACTTGTTTGCTGGTGTGGCATTGCATCAGATCAAGCGTTGTAAGTCAAAACTGACGTTACAAAGTTGAAACAGGATGTCAATTTATAAATGTTGTAAGTGTGAAATGTTGTAACTCAAAACGTTTTAAGTCAAGGACTGCCTGTACGCTCAAGAGGTCTCAGGTAGAAAGCCATGTTCCCCGCTACAGAGGAAGGGAAAAAACCTACAGTCCTTTTCAGTCTGACCATGGGGTAAAAATCCTTCTTGACCCCAAATATGTTGATTGGTCTGATCCAGAGTAGAGGGACAAGACCTGTTAGCTAGGAGCCCCCAGCTTTGGTCCCAGCAGAAGCCTTGGCACACCCCAGTCAAAGTCCCTAGCCTTGGCTGTAGCCAACACTCAGTGCATCTGGGAAGGCTTAAAAACACCCTGACACATAGAAGAATATATGTGAGTTTCAGAGCCCCTTACTTGCTCTGTGTACCTGTGTATTCATGGCTCATCTGCCTCCAAAAACTCACCCTGAAGGTCACTTCTTTTTAGAGAGCTGGCAGCTCTTCCTTTTGCTCTTAGAATGTTTTGTGTCTAGCACAGGCATTGGCAGCTTTCTGCTGGTGTGACCTGATGCCAATAGTTCTCCATCCCGCTGTGCCCTTCATGTGGCCAGCTGCCAACTACCTGACCTGCCTTCCACAACTCCAAGCTCAGCTGTAGCAGAGCAGTAGGCTATGCAGTGGAGGGGAGCATTGTGAAAGGGATGGGCAGCACAATGCAGCTCCGAGGCACTAATCACCTGTGCTGTATTGAACCTCTTTGTGGGCTGGATCTAGCCCACAGGCTGTAGGTGTTTTCCTCTCTACCTGGCTTAAATATTTTACCTGTTATCTTGCTGTCTAGGCAACCCCCAATTAATGCTTGAAGATATCAAAGTCTAATAGAGAACGAGGCAAAGTTATTTATGACAAGTCCTGTCAATCTATGGTAATGAAACTATGCAGCACACATGGCATATTACTGGTGTAAGAGCTGTCTTGTTTTTATCTATTACTTATGCCTCTTAGTTCTAACAAGAAGGACATTTTAAAAAGAGGAAAGCCTCTAAGGCTTCCTGCAGAATTAAATACAGACACAAAGGCATCAAAGAATTTATTCAAAGTACAGCTGTGTTAACTATATGTGTTTAAAAGATTCCTTTAATGGAATCCCAAGTGGAAGTGAAACTTGCTGAAGTTGTGGTATAAAACAGGGTGAGATGTTCTGATTATACCAGAACTAGTTGTTGTTCTTCAGTACAGGAATGCTTTCTCCAAGCTCCATAATTATGTGTTTAACATTGTGTTTGAAGCTCAGTGGAAGTCAGCCTATTCAAAGATAACTGCTTTTTTTTTAAAATTTCCTAGGTACTTGGTGGAGGTCCAGGACTATTCAATAACCATGGGTTTCAGGTGCAGCAGCAGCAACAAAGGAACCTGTCACTGCATGAATACCTGAGCATGGGACTGTTGCAAGAGGCTGGTATTTGTGTTCCACATGGACTAGTTGCAAGAACACCAGAAGAAGCATACACAATTGCAAAAGAAATAGGTATAATATTAACAAGAACTTATACAATATAGGAATCAATGTGATAGAAGGGGTAGCTACTTGTTTAATTTCCTGGTAAGACACTTCTTACAGTTCTCCATGCTGTCTATTTTTAAGAGCTTTTTTATGTGCTTTGGAAAAACTTGTTTACTATCTAAGTACCTGTTTTGCTGGTGAAATATCCTTTTATTTGAAACCTTCTAAAGCCTGGGATGATGTTATGCAGGAGTGGAAAACTATGAGGTTACTGGTGGTCAAATGAAAGAGATGTGCATTGCTGTTTGAAATGCAGTAGTGTGCGCAACAGCACCGGAGCAAATTTATGTCCCTGAGAGCTGTATATGGAGGATGTCAGTCCCTCTGCCTTGGCTGAGTTGGTGTTCACTCTGCTCTACCCCTGATCTGGCAACAGACGGCAGCCTCCATTGTCAGGCCAGTACTATGTGTTCAAATGCTTGTGTACTGGCAGCTTCATTCAGCAGCTATTCCAGCAGAGCATGAAGTGCACTCTGGGAAGGTACCAGCATTTGAAGAGACCATAACAACTAGCTGAAGGTTCTGGAGCCTCTATATATACCTTCAGGTGGTTGTTATATGGCAGCAGAAGCCTTATTCTCCAGAGTGGAGTAACTCTGCCAGCAGAAAGAAAGGCTCTCCTTCTATAGTACAGCTTTGGGTGTGGACACATTGAAAGCTTAGCTGGCAAAACTGGTGCTTTACCAGAAAGACTTTGTAATGTAGACTAGATTACAGAACGTGCTGGTGACTGACACTCCTTTTCCTTTTCCCTGAACTGTGGGGGAGAACTCTTTACATGATTTTTGGACCCAGGCCTGGGATTCAGGTACAGGCCTGGTAGGGAATAAGGGATAGTTAATGTATGTCACTTTCTTCTTCCTGTCTCCACCGTCTAGCTTCTTCCCTAAGAAAATGAATGTATCCCTCTGGCTGTACTGGCTACTTTCTGTAATTTTGTTTTGTAATGGAATGGTTGGGTCTCATCCTTGACAGGACAGTCTGTGTTATGAGAAGAACAGAGTTTTTTGTAAAAGTCTTTACCCTGTTTTTGTTGCAGAAGGAGGTGGCCAAAAGAGCTGTATGCTCTAGTGTAGTAATGTGTGCTGAATTTTCAGGGTGTAAAGAAAATATTTTTTCTTCATGACTGTGACTTCTCTGTCATGTTGCTCATAGTATAACACTGTCACTTAATCTGTGAATAGTTGCATTGGCTATCATATCCCAAAAGTTGTACCAACATATTGTTATAAAGACAGCCTTTCATGTAGACTGATTCAAATTCTGAATTATCTTGACTTTCATGTCACTATTGTGCCACCTTTTGTGTTCAGTTTTGATTTGCCTATTGTTAAAACTTTTGTTTTGATTTTTCCATGTTGTAATGAAATTACTTTTGCTTCTTAGCACTTTGGCATTAATCTTTGCTGAAATCATTTTCCAGACACCAGATCTGATTTTTATACTCCAGTCAAATCTGGTTTTAATACAGGGAAGCATTTGTCTGATCTCACTGTTGTGCATGGGAGCCCTGTTCATACTTTCAGTTGGCTGCAGCTGAGGTGGTATCTCAAAGGCCAATGCTTATCTTTACATGCTGGTCGCTTTCAGGGGGCATTGATATATTCCAGACAATGAGATCTAGGGAGTTGGTAGGGAACCTCTTCAAAATTCTTCTTGGAGCAAAAGGGTAGTACTTTATGATGTAGCTAGGATGCACTTAGAGTAGTATATGCAAGTATCTTAAGACAATTTCTGTCCTCAGAGCTGCAATGCAAAGAGCAAGAATGCAGAGCGAGAATCACGTCTCCCTTGCCCATGGTGTAAGAGCCAGCTGGGATTGCATGTCACAGCTGAATGGACCGTCTCTTCCTTTATAGCTTTTTGCTTGCTTAGCTAGGACTGGTTGTTTTTTCTTTTTCACATCTGTTAACATTTGAAACTGCCACTCCTAGATCCAAGGCTTAATCAGTCATGCTTAGAAAGGTCTTAGCTCTGGAAGGTTGGATTAAGGTGGGTGCCAATAGCTGTGAAATATGATCACTTGATCTTTCTGCAATATTATTTAATTTATTTCTCCCTGTTTCCCAGCTTCAACTTTTGCACTATTTCTTTCAAATGTTTCTTAATGTTCAGGAAATCAGTCTATGATGCCTTCTGATGCCAAGAACCTCACTCCCTTTCCCTCTTCTTCTCTCCCTCCCCCTCCCACTCTCCCTGTCCATCTTCTTAATTCACTAACCTATTGATTCAAGTAGTAAAATTTTTTTAATTTTGAGTTTCACATCCAAAGGCAACATCTGAGTGTGTTTAGTCAAGAGGACAGCTCTTGGCTGCACCCTTTTTTCAGCAGCAGTTGACTGAAGTCATTTCTTGTGTATTGGAAATTCTTAGAGATTTTTATAAAAATGTTGGCTACAAAGGACCAGCTCACAGGATCATCATAAATTCTAGTTTATTAGATGGGATGTGAAGCTTTAATAGAATCATAAATGCAAACTTTGAGTTATGAGGGGTATTGGCCACCTTAACACGCGCACACGCTGTAATAGTAGTGTAGCAGTGATGTTGGTTTACAGTTATCCGGGGCATTGGAGTCTGCTGCTGATGGTCAGCTTCCTCCAAGGCAATGTCTTCTCCAAAAGGGAGTTGCCTACTTATCCTTCTGTCTTGGTAGGTTGGGTGCTGAATGAGAGAGGGTGTCACTGAGGGTCACGCTTCACTGCCTTTTATCCCTTTTTGGCACACTTCTGTGATCCCCCACCATCATCGTGGTTGCCCAATCTGGAGGTTGCTGTCGTCTTACTTGGGTCTTGAGGTACATGATGGCTGTCAGTCACAGTCACTGGGGGTTCGGCCTGATGGTGCACTTTTGGGAATCCATCCTTGACTTGATTGACTTAATGGCTGTGTCTTAGGTTCCAGGTGGCTTGATTAGCTTAAAGTGGCTTGTCGGGTAGAGTTTTGTAATGGTAAGTTCCTCTGGCTAGGCAATTGTCAATTAACAGCCAGAGGCTCTTGCTTTGTCATTCAGTTACCTACTTATTCATACATACTTGCATTTGCTCAGGGGACCAGCCCAATACAGCAGTACAATTCCAGTGCATTCTTATAATAATGATTTTTAGTAATACAAGGTATGACTTACTCAAAGTAATACATTTGTTAAAAGGTATAAAACAAAATACAGAACGTCAGGGCAAAGATGAGACAGATGAAATATAAAAAATACAGTGCGAGTTAGCGAGGATCAAAGGCCGTTGGGGACAATAAGTGAGTTAAGTTAGATTCAGTCACGTAGACTGATTTGGCATAAAACTAGACAGATATGGGAAGTTTGCTTTGGGAAATAGGTCTTAAGCAAAGGGGGAATGTGTTTACCAGGATATGTTTACAGTCATGTTTTCAATGCACCTTGGCTTTTCTTGTCTCTTTTATAGGCTGGGCTTTGAAGTGGATATTTTAGTTCTTTTGTTTTCGTTGGTGACACTTAGCTCAATTGATAAGTAGATGTTGTTTGTAGGTTTCTCCTGCAGAAAGCCACTTCAGCTTTTTGGCTTGCTCTAAGCCTTGCCACACCCATGCAGTACTTAGAAGGAAAAACATGCTCAAAAGCTGGTGGGGGGGACAAGCAAGAAGAGGCTTCTGTTATATTAGTGCCCAGAAGGGGAGTGTACAAAGGGGGCTCCCTGTTACAGAAACTTCCCTTTAAGTATGATATGACTGACTTGGCATGGAAGCAGTTGAGTGCTAAATGATGCTGCAGTACTGCTGCTGCTCCCTGTGTGTGTTGAGTAAGTTGATGTTGTTTTCACTTGATGTATGATTAAAGCAGTTGTTAGATATATCAAGTCACCTGTGAAGAGCTGCCTTAAATGGGTAGCACATGGATCAAATCAGTATTCACACTTTTCAACAAAGCCCGAACATCATGATAACTACAGTATTAATCATAATGATGTTCTGAACCTAATTAACTGAATAAATGTTAGCTTCTCAGCAGAATATTGGGCTGTGTGGTGAATTATGTTGGAATGTAGAAAACACTGATTTTTCACTTGATGCCTTTATTGTGAATGCTGCTCTGTTCGTCTGGCAGTAGAGGTGCACGAGGAATTACTCAAGACTGTCAAGCTTGTTTCGTCCTCCCTGCTCCCCCTCTGCTCCCCGCCCCGTGCTGAAGCAGGTTCTGCAGGGGACTATATATTTGGCATTTAGAAATAAAGTAACATAGGGCATTTTCATTACTGAAGAAGACAAGGTAGATTTACACCTCATAAGTGGTGGGGAGAGAAATGGGATGCAGGTCATAGTTGGGGGACAGGTAGCTTGTCCCCTGTTATTTCCCCTGCTGCTTCCTCCCTCCCTTCCTTCCCCCCCACCCCAAATTACCCTTGCTCTGGTGCAGCTGCTGCTAGGAGCCTGGGCTGGGGTTGTGCTCTGTGCCCCAGGCTGGAGTGGGGACGGCAGGGGTGGCGAGCAAGGGCAGGTGGTGGAGGGGGAGAAGAAGGGATGGTGTGGAGGGGTAGAGGCTTTAAGGGAGGAGAGACAGTAGGAGAAGGAATGGCTGGGGAGAGAGATGGGCATGGAAGGGAGGGGTGGAGCCCCTGAGGGTGCAGAGGGGAAGAATCAGGGGGTGCAGAGGTGGTGGGAGGTGTGGTAGGCAGCAGCTATGGTTCTGGCTCTGACCTGGGGTTGGAGCTGGAGCCACAGCTGCTGCCTGCCTCCCTGCTGCCCCATACTCAATTCCAAGGTGAAGGGCTTTTGCCCCACATGTTAAATTGGGGAGAGGAGTCTTGTCTTGGAATTGAGTATGGTACCTCTAGCAAACAGTCATGTTCATCCTTTTTTTTTTCTTCCCTCTTTCCCAATCATCAAACATTCAATACAAAATACTGCTAGACATCTAATCTCATGATTATCTAAAGACTTTTTAAACTAGTTTTTGATGCTGAAGCTTCTGGAGTAGCAAAATTCTTTTTTGG